AACATTATTTATAGGATCTTCCTCAAATACACTACAACATTTTACGGAAGGAGTCGAGGAGAGAAGAATAAAGGAAGAAGTCCCTAAGCAAAGTTTGATTTTTAATTATGAATTCAATTTTTTTTTATTGCGTTTTTATTTTCTTTATTTTTTTTTTGTTTTTTTTTTTATTTTGCTTTCTTTTTTTTTTTTGTTATTGTCAACTGTTATTTCTTTAAATTTCATATTAATTCTTATGTCCTTTAAGACCCTGAAATTATCTTTTAATTTCCTTTTTCCGTCTCTCTCTACTAAAAAGAAATGAAAATACAAAATATAATTTCAATCACGCGGGCCATAATCTAAAAGTTCTCTCGATGAATTTATGTGTTATCCAAATTATTTTTCCTCCTCTTTTCTTTCCTCATAGATACTTTATTACAAAGTATTTAACATTATCTTTTTTTTTACATCCTCATATTTGTATAATCATCCGAGCTCAGTAATTGGTAACACTCTGTTTTTTAGTGTTATTTACTAAAACGACTATACATTTCCTCAGATTTTTTTCTTAATCCCTCCCCCTATAATATCAGGTAATTCTCCCAGATGATTAATAACAGGGTGTATTTGTTATTTAGCATTTAAAAAAGTCTTTGTCCCAGTAAGAGATACATAAATATTCTCCTTTTATATCTTGTACCTCATTCGACTGTTTTACACTTTGGTCTAGTTCCATTTAACCTCGACTATCTTCTACTTACTTTTAGTACACATCTTTTTTGATTTCACCTGAACAAGTCTCCTCATGTCTTTTTTTTGTGTCTCATCGGCGTCTTTCTTCGATGCATTATCTATCTTCGCTTCTCATTGCTTTCGTCTTTCATCGTTAGTAATTTGTAGATATGTTCGACTCGTTTTATTGTTTTTGCATTTTTCTTTTTATCCTTCTGACTGGTATTTTTATCAACTCTTAGTTTTTTCAAATATAATCTCTGTTTCTGCTTATCTTCGTTATATGTGAATCTTCTTATGTAATCT